GGTTGGTTTCCTCATCACCACTCGACCCTTCGCGCGTCGCCAATCAGTTGGTCACCTCATAACCATTCGGCCGCCCCGCGCGTCGCCATCGGTTGGTCACTTCATCACCACTCGGCCGCCCCGCGCGTCGCCACTCGGTTGGTCACCTCATAACCACTCGGCTGCCCCACGCGTCGCCACTCGGTTGGTCACCTCATCACCACTCGGCATCCCCCAGTGGGTGACTTAGCTGTGAATCTTTTTCGCCTTAGTCCAAGAAATCCTACCGAGTGATGAGTCAGCCTCTCACTCGGGGGCTTAGCGGCGAATCTTTTTTGCCTAAGTTCAAGAAATCCTACCGAGTGATGAGTCAGCCTCTCACTCGGGGGCTTAGCTGCGAATCTGTTTCGCCTAAGTTCAAAAAATCCTACCGAGTGGAGAGCAAACCTCCCACTCGGGGGCTTAGCTGCAGTCCAGTACTCGCCTAAGTTTGAAAAAATCCTACCGAGTGGAGAGCAAACCTCCCACTCGGGGGCTTAGCTGCAGTTCAGTACTCGCCTAAGTTTGAAAAAAAATCCTACCGAGTGGAGAGCAAACCTCCCACTCGGGGGCTTAGCTGCAGTCCAATACTTGCCAAAGTGTTTGAAATCCTACCGAGTGGAGAGCAAGCCTCCCACTCGGAGGCTTAGTTGCAGTCCAAGGACTCGCCTAAGTAGCCAAAATCCGACTGAGACAAGAGCAAACCTCTAACTCAAGGAGCTGCATCACAAGTATAATGTGTGCTCCATCCCTATCCGCAAGGACACCGAGACGAAGGTCGACTGTCACCATCGCCTCGTCACCACTCGACCACTCACGCGCCTTTAGACATCTAAGTCATTTTACATTCTGTTATTTCTGTCTTCCTGAGTGTCCCGTAATTCACACATCACGTTCACTCGGAGGCCACGCCACCGAGTGTACCTCTATGCTCGGCTGCTTATTTTCACATACTTGCTTAGTACTGGTTATGTGACTCCCGAGTCCAACTTCCATTTTTTCGCATACATCATTCACGAACACCATGTGTCGTTCTTCATTTCGAGTTTGCATCGGTCCTCCGTTGCTGCAACTTAGTCGAAACACTACACTTTCGTTTTATTTGAGCGATTATTCCAATGAGTTCAATCGGATCTGTCGCTTCGACAAGTTCGAACGGATCCTTCGCTCTTTCAAACTCTTGCTGGTTAACCAGCAAGCCCCTTGCACTCCTAGAGGGTGTCTATGGGTGTTATTCACACAAATCATGTCAGCACACATCAAATTTCCTCGAGAAATTATTTCGTTGGCTTGTGTCATTTTTTACACAAGTTACACGATCACTCGACGGCCCTATGCGCCAACTTCATCGCTGCTCGGACTTGGTCACCATACCGGTCCCAGCGCACCACAACACCGACCTTGTCGCTCTGTTGACTTCAAACACATCCGGTCAACCCCTCTGCGGAATCCTCTTCATCGTATCAATATTATAGACCTCATCAGGCATGAGACAGATATGTCCCTTTTATAATCAAACTTCACACTTCACTCCTTTACGAGTTTGCCTCTTTCGAGCATCACTCGGAAGCTTCTCCTCATCTTTTCCCGAGTCCGACTCAATGAATTGCAAATCATCCATTCAAAACTATATTTCTCATATTCCGACATGTCCATTGTCGAAGCCTGTAGTACGCTCAGGGGCTACGCCGCACTCGGGGACTGCATCTCATTTGGAATGACACTCTCCTGAGTGGTCGAGTACTTCATCACCAGTCGGATCCTTCACTTCAACAAGCGCATTCAATCCGCCACTTTGACAAGTTTTATAATCACTCAGGACGCTCTGCGTGCCATCTTCATTCCTACTCAAACTCAGTTGTCATGCCAGTCTTGTTGCATTGCAACTACACTACATCAACCTCATCATTGCATTAGCTTCAAAAGTATCTGGCTAACTCTTTTGAAGACAATTTCAGCCACTTGGCTAGACATGCAATCTTTCACTCGGCTGCCCCGTGCGTCGTCACCTGGCCACGCCACGCGTCGTCACTCGGCCACCCCGCGCATCACCACTTGGCTGGATACGCATTCCTTCACTCGGCCACCTCGAGCATCCTCACTCGGCCATCCCGCACGTCACCACTCAGTTGTGCACGTCTTCACCACTTGGCCGCTCCGTGCGTCGCCTCTCGGTTGTGCATGCCTTCACCACATGGCCGCCCCGCGCATCACCACTTGGATGGACACGTAGTCCTTCACTCGGCCACCTCGAACATCCTCTCTCGGCCG